CCCAACGCCTACTTCCGCGGCTCTTGGGGCTTCATAGATGGCATCGTATTGATCACTCTTTGGGTCAATGTTGGCACATCGTTCTTGAACGAAGGCCAAGTCACTAGAACCGTGGGCGCGTTCAAAGCTTTGAGGGCTTTACGTTTGCTCAACATCAGCGACAGTGCACGTAACCACTTTCACGCGCTCATCGTTCGCGGTTGGTGGAAACTATTCTCGGTAAGCATCTTGCAACCTCCATTTTTTCAGAGCTAATGATGACCAGGCTGCTTTCGTGTCATTGAGTCTGTTGATTCCATTCGCCATCTACGGTCTGAACCTCTTCGTCGGTCAACTTCAGTCCTGCAACGATGGTGACTTCCCTGGAGGCGCTAGTCTCCGAGACTGTGTCGGAGAATACAACAGCAAGCCTTTCGACTGGGAGGTTTTGGCCCCACGCCAAGCTGCCAATCCCTATTACGACTTCGATAACTTCGGAGATGCCCTCTTCATCTTGTTCCAGATTGTTTCCCAAGAAGGCTGGACAGACAACATGTGGACTGCAATGAGTATCACCGGAGTTTACACACAGCCAGCAGACAGAGCATCGCAGGGAAACTCTGTCTACTTCATTGTCTTCAACTTGCTCGGAGCTGTCTTCGTGTTGACGCTGTTTGTTTCCGTCTTCATGCGCAACTACACGGAACAGACTGGTGTCGCCTTCTTGACGACAGATCAGCGCTCTTGGCTTGAACTACGAAAGCTCCTTCGTCAAGTCGCTCCATCCAAGCGACCTTCGTCTACCAAGGTACGGGAGAGCTGGGAAGAGTGGTGTTACCGTAGGGCGGTCACCAAGACCGGACCATGGCAGAGATTTATTACCGGCGTTTTGATACTGCACCTCCTGCTGCTGTGTTTGGAGTGGTACCCAGGCTATGGTCCATGGGAGGTAGCTAGGGGTAAGTTCCATTCCACCGAGTCCATGGCCTAATACTAATATGACTAGACTACATCTTCCTGGCGCTCACCATCGTCTTCATCGCGAACATAGTCATCCGAATCATCGGTCGCTCATGGCACCGTTTCCGGAGAAGCGCATGGGACATATACTCGATATTCTCTGTTGCGGGGACTTTCGTGACATCGATTCTTGTGTTAGCGAAAGACGATGTTAGGCCCTTCGTCCAGCTGCACAAGCTCTTCCTTGTCTCCATCGCTCTCATGCTCATCCCTCGGAACAACCAACTCGACCAGCTGTTCAAGACTGCCGCAGCAAGTCTCGCATCCATCGCAAACCTTCTCGCCACATGGTTCGTTCTGTTCCTGGTATACGCCATCGCCCTCACGCAGACTTTTGGTCTTACCAGATTTGGAGCTAGCGAGACTGGAAACATCAACTTCCGAACTGTGCCCAAAGCACTCGTCTTTCTCTTTGTGATGAGTGGTGGCGAGGGCTGGAATGAGTTCATGGAGGACTTTGCAAACGTTGACAAACCTTACTGCACCGTGGGCGAGAGATACTTCGACAGCGACTGCGGTAGTCCTGAGTGGGCGCGAGCTCTCTTCATCACTTGGAACATCTTGAGCATGTACATCTTCGTCAACTTGTTCGTCTCGTTGATCTACGAGAGTTTCAGTTACGTGTATCAACGAAGTAGCGGGCTGTCAGTCATCAGCCGAGAGGAAATCCGTCGCTTCAAACAAGCCTGGGCTGAGTACGATCCAAACGGGACCGGCTACATCTCGAGAGAAGTGTTCCCCAGGCTTCTGGGTGTAAGTTCATCATTGTCGTATTTAAGCACAAAACTAACTATATCAGGAACTGTCCGGTATCTTCGAGATGCGTATCTATGACTGCGACTTCACTGTGAATAGATTGATCGAAGAGTGTGGGGTAGCACCCGGAAGGGAGTCCAATCTTCCTGTGTCAGGCCGTGAACCAACCAAGGAGATCGACCTGGACAAACTGAACCGGTGTCTCGCCCAGCTACCAGTCGCGGAGATACGTCGCAGACGAAGACGTATGAATCTTTTCTATGAGGAAGTACTTGTGTCGAGCGATCCCGACAGAGGCGTTGGGTTTTCATCACTACTTATGATTCTGGCTCATCACAAAGTCATCAACGACAACAAGAGCTTGAGACTGGAAGAGTTTTTGAGGCGCCGTGCGCGCCTTCAAAGAATCGAAGAAGCTGTCCGCCGTAACGTGGTCAAAGGCTTTTTCGACACCCTATACTGGGCACGGCGCTTCCGTCGTGCCATGGACCTGAAGAAGCAAGGACGTATGGCAACAGTCCCTCAGTTCACTGTTCCCGAGATCTTCATCGACGACGAGGACATCACAAATGCCCAGCGAACTCAATCTTCCGGACCTCCCAGTCCTCTCTTCTCACCTCAAGATCTCTACGCACCTTCCCCTCGCAACTCTGCTGGCGCGTCTACTTCGCCACCAGCCTTCCCTTACGACCGCACAAGGAGCAGAACCAACTCCATACAACAAACACCGACAGGCTCACCTACACGGGGAAGCCCGCAGCCATCACCCTTCTCCATGTCTGGCAGCGAGCAAGAATGGCAGTTTGCTTCGGCACTTAGTCGGCCACCCAGTCCTCTCGAAGTCGATCCTGGGCAAGCGAATAGTCGCAGCCGAGCAAATAGCGCAGTCAGTGCGGCCGATGTTTTGGAAGTGCTTGACAACTCCGCATGGGGCGAATCGATTAGAAGGAGTTTCACTCAGCGGCGGCGCAGCTAGCGTCCGAGAAGATTTGTATATGAACGCTAAAGACAAGCATGAGCAGGTGTCAATCACGTCGATCAAGCTGGCTTGGTATGGCTTCGGCAACACGTCGAGCCAAAACGGGATGGTTCAGAATGGCGTACGATACGGAGTCTGTTGCATGAACGTCTGGAATGATTGGATACGTAAGCGGCTGGCATCAACCCAACACGCAACCATAATGTGGAATTGATGGTTCGGTTGGGGATGGGGATACGGCCTGTAATGGTGTAATGGCGGTGGAGTTAACTTTTGGCATTGCATAGCGTCGGCGTTGAGCGATTGATCAAATCACCTTAGATATTACTATCACGAAGCTTCATATCTTTACCAGCAGTGCGCACCTCCATCACTCCGTCGACTCCTACACGAGAGATACAAGAGCCGTTTGTATTAGTTCACAACATAGCGCGCGAGATGTCTGGTACGCTACTCAACGTGCATCGTGAACACACATACAATAGTCTCTTCGTCCAAGCCGTACCATGGTTCAAAAAAATAACCCGACGGCATGAACATACGCAGGTGACAGACGCTAATTGTACCTTCCGTTGGTCGGCATTGGAAGGCATAATAACCAGTCCCTTGCTTACAGCTGGTTATGAGCTTCTTCCGTCTCTTCTAGACCCGACAAGGACCACGCGATTATAGCGCACTATGATATAGGATCGCCCCGCACCTCGACGACTGTTGTATGCAGACCTGAAACGTTGATCTGCTCCTCGCCGATGAGCTCTTCCCTGATGTGCGTTCAAGTGTGGTGTGTACCAGACACCCTCACGTCACCAACAGTGAGCACAATGCATACCTATCTTTGGCTCGCCACCCACAAGTTCCAGCGTTGACACACCACACTGTAGCATCACACGGGAGCATCACAACCGCGTCTGCATTTGTTGAACGTCCGATGCGTCTGAAACGCTGGTCTGCCGTTAGACAGCTGGGCGAACCGCGCCATGCCGCATCGGGATACGCACGCCTGTCGCAGATTCTCGCATCACACACGCAGCACCCGGTCTCGAGACAGGCCGGTTGAGCATGGAGACACTGCGAGCTTCAAGTGCTGGGTAATGCCTACTTATGGGCTGGCGGGCTGCAAGCAAGAAACAACAGCCAGGGTGATTCACGTCTGAAGCGGCCGAACTGGGAGCGGCTCGCTCGTCCGGCTCCAGGTTCGTGGGCGAGCGGAAAGCCCTCCGATCATCGTGCCTGTTCAACAAGTTTATGGCTTGACGTGATGGTGGACACCTCCCTGGCGAGACGATGCAGAGCGCCGGGCGATGATGACAACAAGCAGCCAGAACGCGTCGTGTCGGGCGCAAAAGCAACACCACCAACGTCCATGTCAACAAAAACATGGCCACTAGCAGTTCGCCGACGTAAGAATAGCACCGGGCAGCCCTCACAATCTCGTGTGAAGCCACCAACAAAGTCGACAAAATGACGAAGCTCCACAGTGTAATGAGGATGATCCCCCGACTACCCACTGCTACCTAATCTCTTATCGATTGCAGGCTGCTCTCTGGAATGAAGCCATGCAATCATTCCGCGGCACTCCCAATGGGCCGCCAGTCGACGACTCCCGCTCGCTTGTTTCCAGACGGGTGATCAAACGAGGCTCGACCCCTCAATTCACGCGTTCCTGACAGGGATGTTCGCTGCAGCAGTCCCATGTCCCACCTTCCAGGGTTTTAGCTTCTGGGACGTAACACGCACTGGCACAGAGAAGTGCCAACATGCGACACGCATGCTTAAGGATCCGCCATCGTCCGCCTGTTTTTCTCGACTAAAACTACAGGAATAAGTTTCCTTCTTCATTCCATCTCCCGACTCCTCCTCCTTTTAACTTACCTTCGCTTTTCAGACTGTGCGCGAGTGTCTTTGACCACCGCACTACTGTATCTCCCAATCTACATTCATATATACCCTTTGAACAGAGTTGATCTCCCCTTTGCACTTCCACTTGCACCTTTTCTGATTCGCAAGCCGATCGACAAGGACCCAACACTCGTTGTCCTATCACATCCCTACGAACTTCCATTCCTTACATTACCTCCTTCGTAAGGACAGCTGGAACTTTCTATTCGAAACATCCTTCATTTGCAATCGGACTCCGACAAACACTCCGCGTCTATATTCGCTCAAACAATACCGGGAAGCTACATCATAGCAACCGTCGCCTGAGAAAAGCAATTCCACCAACCTCAACTCCGACGTAACAACCACCACCTCAACACCACCCAAAATGCCTTCCCCAAGCCGCACCAACCGCTTCCAATCCTTCACCCCCCTGCGCAGCACATCCGGCTCCCTCCGCCGCCTCAAGACCGCCTTCAGCCCCACCCGCAACTCTCTGCGCTCGGCATCGCCCTCCTCCATCTTCACCTCCAGCACCACATCGCCGCTGACGCGCAACTCGTCACCACACAGCCACCGCTCCTCCGGCTCTTCCATCCGCCAACTCCTCGCCGTGCGCCGCAAGCCCAGCGTGTACGAGTTCGAAATGGAAGAGGAGAAGCACTTGTTCGAAACCGAACTCGATGTCCTCGAGCCGAGACCGAGCATGGGTCGCGGCGCGAGTGAGGTGCATGTTGTCGGCATCTTTGAGGTGTTGGACGGGAAGTGCTAGACGCATACGACTTGTTGTTGCTGGCGCTTGTTGATTGGGTTATGCTTGAACATGTTTATGACTGAACTGTTTAATGGGGCGTTTTCATCTTCCCATCACCACGCATCGTTGTGTGCGTGTGTGGATGGGTCTTGCTTTTTCGATTAGATTGGGTACTCACGGTGACGTGTCAAAGGCGTTCTCTTTGTACGTGTCATCTCTTCGACATGGACATTGGCTTGGTTTGCTTCTTTCTTATACCCCAATGGACTGGATTGGACTGGGGGGTACTTTACCACGGCAGACATTATGGAATACGATCAAATCTTTTCTTTCAACATTGATATCTAACTTTTCGATTTTCGCATTTGCATCTGTTGTTGTGACGCTCGTGCGAGAGTATGCAAGTGAGGCTCTGAGAGTTGGAGCGTTGGGCCTTCATGCGGTGTTAGCTCAAAGCTTGTGAGCTGTCAATGGGCGAGACCATGGGCAGCCTCGCATTTTCGGATATTAGGTACAGGTACTAGCGGGCATGTCGGGCAACGTGCTTGCAGAATGTAACATGATGTATGTATACCCTTAGAGCAGAGCTTAAATATTGGGTGCAAGTCAAAGAAATAAGATTCTTGGTACCTGACGCCACGAACCGTTTAGTAGTTGTGAGTTTGGTATCTCCGTCGATAGATCAGCACGATTTACATAATCACGAGTAACACTTCAGTTGAGGTGTATCATAGTATTGATATTCACTCTCCAAAAGCAGTCTCAAAATATGTATCTGCCGTGCAATTTCCAACGCCACGCCAATGCATACCAACCCTCCGCCATTCCCCTAATCATATCAAAACACAGGCTTAGACCAAAGTGTCTGCCCACAAAACCGCTTAGTGTACGCCATTGACAGGCTGTTGCAAGTTGTCCAACTCCTCCTTTCGCTTCCTGTACAGCTCCTGTGCTTCCCTCTCCCTCTTAGTAACGAACTGAACTTCCTCGCGCAGGCTCTCCAGTCTGCGTGCGATGCCATCTTGCTCGCTGTACTGCGCCGTCCTCGCTGTGTTCAAATCGTCCCTTGCACGCTCGAGTGCTGAGAACGCGCCACTGATCTTCTCTCGTAGTAGATTTGATCGTTTGATGTAGCCGGCGTGATGTGTTGTTAATCGCTTCTCGATCTTGTTCGCACGTTCCGCGGCTTCAATGATGGACTCTTGTGCGTTGTCAAAGGCTTCGACGAGCAGTTGGTGTTCGTCGATCTCGTCTTCCTCGTAGCCTGCGATGCCGGGCAGCATTGCGGAACCGTGAAGCGTGGTCCAGGAACTGTCGAGCTCGGCGTGGAAGGCCTTCTTGTCCTTGTCTGAGGTCATGGCAAGTTCAAGCGCGAGCTCCATCTTGGCATTTCGGAGAGCATCATCGGTCATGGAATCGAGACGTGTTACTGAACCAGTTACTCGGCCATCGCCGAACTTCTGGACGTCGTTCGCGATGAGCTTAGCCATCTCGATTTCGACTTCGCGTTCGACAGGGTCAGAGAGGTCCAATGCGCGCTTCATCATGACATCAATATCGACCAGCGATGGCCTTGGAAGGAACTTCTGCACGACTTGACTTTGCCTGCCGAAGTCTGCGGCTTCCTGGGCTTCGCGTGCTTCACGAATTTTTCGGTCGCGCTGAGCAGCGTCTTCTTCGCTGACTTCGACTTCCATGTGATCTGCCTGCTCTTCGGGAAGCTCAAACTCCCAGCTTTCTTCCTTGGGTTTTGGCAGCGCAGCGAGCCTGCTCTTCAGGTCTTGCCGCTTCGCTTGCTCCCTTAGTTTGATATCGCGGGGTGTCTGGCCAACAAGTTGCATGCCACTCTCCTCTCCGTTGAGGCGTAGTGTATCGCGTGGTGTTCGCATGGGTGTCGCTCCCGGTCCCTGGCGCATGGGTGTTTCTCCGGCTCCGCCATTTGCTTGCCTGAAAGGCGTTGCCATGGGGTTTGGTGTCACGATCTGGTGTCGTGAGGCGGGTCCTGATAGCGAGGCGGGTGCTTCGTCGTCTACGAGATCTGGGTTGTCGCCACCTAGCAAAGCAGATTGGGTCTCTGTTCGCATCCGGGCATTCCGCACCTCATTCGCGACGTAGTCCTCCTCTTTGGGGGCCATGGGCGTGCGAATGGGTGTGTTGCCAATCACGTTCGAGTAGTTCCCGATCAGGCCCTGTGTTGCGATGTTGTCGCTGCTGCCCGCAGTAATTGCGCGCTGTCCAGTCGTTCCCATCTTGACGATATCTTCCAACTCGGCCTCTCCGACTTGCGGCGCTGGAAGCACGAGACCGCGTCGCTTGCTGCTCTGTTCTGCTTCCCGTATCCTCTGCGCTTGTGCGGCCTTAGCATACGACGCTGCAAGACCTCCTGACTTCTCATCTTTCTTCTTCTTCCTGTCACCTCCTCCGTCTTCCTGCGATTCCATCTTCCTCTTGTTCGCAAGCTGTTGCTTTCGCGGATCGAAGGCCTCTCGTTGTTGTTCGTTGCGGTCGATTTCTTCTGTGGTGTCGAAGAAGCCGGCGGGGACTTCCTTCTCGAGCGGTACGTCGGCGTTGTAGTCGATGTGGTTGCCCTTCTTCGGAGTAATCTTGATGTTGATACCGGCAGCTTTCAGCTCTCGTCGCTTCTGAAGCAAGGCAAGTCTTCTTGATTCCTCAAGTTGGCGCTCGCGGGCCTTCCGCTTGGCCTTCTTACCGCTGACGTTTGCCAGACGCGCACGCGCCTCTGACAGCATCTCCTTGTCTTCCTCGTCGATATCGACCGCATCGGGTCTCGCAGGTCGGCTTTCGGCGTAGGCGTCGACTTCTCCGGGGCGAAGACGACGTACATCGTCTGCTGAAGGAGCGGCTGAATCTCCACCCTCCGGACCCGCCAGTCCAAGATCGCCAGACTCTCTCGCTTCTTGTTCGTCCAACAGCTTTTGGTAGCGCTCGAGACATTGCGTAGCCTGCGGAAAGTTAGCATGATACTGGAAAAAGGGATAATCGCAACAGCGTACCGTTCGTCCAACAATAGGCGCAATAGTCCTCCATTGGGTGGGGAGGAGTTTGGCCATAGTCAGGAGCTTCTCATCCTCCTCTCGCGACCAGTCCGTCTTCCGGATAGCGGGGTCGATCCAGTTGGTCCAGCGCGACTTGCATTGCTTCGCGCTCTTCTTGGACAGCAGCGAGGCGCATCGCGACCACTGGTTCAGCCCATACTTGCTGATGGCGGCCTTCAAGACCTCGTCCTCGACGTTGGACCAGGAAGATGTGACGACCATGTTGGATGGCTTCCGGGGGGTATCGTGGGTTGGCGCGCGTGTCGTGAGCGATGGTATCCTCGATCGCGAAACTGAAAATGGGCTGCAGCCACTAGCGTCTTGGCAGTCGCAAGCACCGCGTGGAAACAGCAAAGTGAAGTCCGGATAGCTTGCAGAACGACGTGGAGTTGAGACCAGCGGTTAGTGATATTAATGCGCGGTCCTCCTCTGGAGGGAAGTCACCAGAGCGATCCACACAATGCAGTCGCGGCGCAGGCACCAGACTTTCACGTGCGCCAGACGACCGCGGTCACAGTGACGTAAATCCACCATCTCCATCTTCACATAGTTCTGTTGCTACGATTTCACTACACACCCTCTTGGCCATATAGTTCGCTACGATGGTATCTCTACGGCAGATCACGGGGCGCGTTCCCCTTCTTTCTCACACCACGTCTTCCTCAAGAGCGTCCTGCCGACAAAATCTACCTTCAGTCACCTACAACAGAAATTACTCCGATGCGAGCTCCAATACCTCCACTCCAGTTGAAGTTGATACTCAAAAGGTCGATGCCAAGCTTTCCGATGAGAAAAAGCCCAAGAAGAAGACACAAGCTGAGCTCGATGCCGAGGTGATGGCAAAGCTGCAAGGACATGACAGCGAGGGGGGAGAAGCCGGGATCGAATATGAGGATGGAAAGCCAGCGTCAATGAAGAGAAGCGTGAAGAACAACATGTTTCGATACATATGAGCGTGCGATCTTTCAAGGTTTTGCCGAACAAAATCTACCTTTGATATAGTGTATGTCTCCGTGGAATACACTTTACCTTCTGATACACTAACGGTTGTAGACACGGTGTCCGCGTACACGAGGACGGACTTTCCAGATCAAGAGATATCATGAGCGCTGGAGAATCTGCCACGTCGCTGCCACAGTGCTTGACGTTCGAGGCGAAGAGCTTTACACGAGTAGCACAACCAACACAAGCGGACATCGCCCAAGCGGCCATTGTCTGGGGTCCCAAAGTCCTAGAGAACCTGAGCGCAACCTTACTATAGAGTAAAGTAGCCTTGAAATTATGCCGCTTGAGACGCAAAGGAAAAGCTTTGTGCCTCTCATTCATTGTGGCAAGGGAAGTTGCGAGAACTATGTGGTTGTTGGTACATATATTTGAGTCTGATAGTTGGCGTATTTAAACGTGGTGAAATGGCAATACGCTAAGGTGGTCTATATGAGTAATCTGTCGCCAGAACGTGTGCATCATAAATCTGCCCAAATATGTGATGGCTTGGATTCAAGTTGCCAACCCGAATATTTGCATACGTCATGAGTAACCAATCTAACAACATCACTTCTCACGCCAACTCATCAACACAAATAACCAGCAACTTCAAGGGCGAAAATCTCTCTATACCCACCCTTCTAGGATTCCAATCTGCGCGTAACACATCATGGAGCATTTCGCCCCTCACCCATCCTCGCAATTCGAAGGCTACTACTCCAAATTCGACCTCACATCTGGCTCGCACATCGCTCTGATAATATCCTCCGTTCCTGGCGCCCCATCAAGGCAGCACGTGGTTTCGTTTACATACTACCCTTCGTCTGGCCACCCAATATTCCAGCGAGAACACGTCGTCGACAACATCGAGCGCGTGACCACCAATGAGAAGACCAAAGCATTCGACCTGCGCGTCCCAGGCATGGGCGTCATGAGCACCGAGAGCAACGGTCGCACAAGCTACAAGTTCGCAGCCGA